ACTCTTTAGTCAAAAATAAAAATTCACTTCTCATCTTTCTTACTCTTCTTGGTACCTGTTTCAGCACCACAATTTCTTTGTCTTTGTACTTTAATGTTTTCTCTCTTGCCACCTGCAGTATCTGTGTTTTAATAATCTTCTTGGTAAATCTGATGTGACCTTCTCTTGGTAACCTATTTCTCATTGCATATCTTGTATAGACACAGAACACTTCATCCCATCCCATCCATCATCTCCTCTTTGGTTATCTCTAACACTTCTGCCAGTATTTCTCTCATTATTTCAGCAAAGTTTTCACCTTTTCCTTCTACATTTTGAAATCTCAGGTAAAATTCTGATGTATCGATTTCCCATCCTAATGGTCCACTCCTGCCCTTTTCAACATCGCTCAATCGAGTATCAATATCTCCAATTTTCTTATCTCTTTGTAAATCTTCTTCTTTGATTTTCTTAAATCTGTCCTCATATTTCATCATCATCTGTTGAATATTCTCTACTTTCTCACCTGTCTTTTCAGTTCTTTGCTCAATATTCTCTATTCTCTTTTCAATCTTCTGAATTCCTTACATAATCATGTGCAATCGCGCTTCCTTCTCTTTCTCCTGTTGTAACATTGTCTGTATTGATCGTTGTCCTCCAGATGGTGAAGAGGAGGCAATTGGTGTTGAGGAAGCTGGGGCTGTTGTCTTTCTACTCATCTTGTAATACTTATCTGTAAAAAAAGAAAGAGGAAAAAAAAGGGAAAAGAAAAAAAAAGAGCGAAGAGCTGAGAACTGCCACTCCGAAAAATAAAAAGGGAAAAAAATCTTCAGGCACTTGTATACCTTAATCCAATTAGTTACAGTAATATGCGGGGGGGGGGGGGGGGGGGGGGGCAGAGAAGTTATGGAAAAAGGAATAAAAAAGTTTTGTTTTTGTTTTTTTGAGAAAAAGAGCGTGGGGGAAGAAGAAAAAAAATAGTCTATGTATTTCTCTTAATAAAAAAGACAGAGCAAAAGAAAAAAATTACATGCTAGTTCCTGGATTAAAAGGTTAAAATCCAAATAAAATCCAACTAGAGGGGAAGTAGAAAAGAAGGTAATAAATAACAAACAATTCTAATAGAAAGCAAGCCACTGCCACTAAATATCCAAGGCTCTTTGGTAAATCAACTCTGACTTTCCAGTTCCAGTATTTTCAAGGTCACTTCAATCTTCTTTCTTTCAACTTCAGACTCCAGCTATCTATAGTTTTACAGATGAGCACCTATATAAACAATCTGCCATGCTCATCCCACTATCTTTTCCAGTGCAAAGCTCAGAGTCCTTGAGTATAACACGAATACACAAACAAGTAAAAGAAAAAATAAAACAGTATTTCCAAGCCTCTAGATGGCAGTGCTACTTATTTTTCTTCACTTTCACTTCCCCCTCATGTATCCAAAGCCAGGAACAGAAGAAAAAAAAAAGTAAAATCTTTTCTTTTAAAAAGAAAAAGAAATAAATCTCAAATCAGAAAGAAAAGTCTTAATCAAAGCAGACTTTCAAGAGAACTGTTAAAAAAAATAGGAAATTTAAAAAGACCTGTCCAGTTTAAAATTAAGAAGCTTTGCCAAATTCCAAGTCCCAGTAGAAAGGGGAAAAAAAAGAAAGTTTCAGTTTAACTAGCTTAATCTCGCCACTTAAGCTCTTTTCTCTTCACTTTTAATTCCACTTTAAGTCTTTCAAGGTGTTCTCTCCAAAAAACAATTAGTAAAAGTTCATCTCACCAAACTGACACACTTTCTTCCAATCTTTTCCGTTCCGGAGCTGCCTCAGCTTCAGCAACTTAAATGGCTGCCTCTCCGCCGTGGGAAAAAAGGGCTTCTCCTGGATCTACCAGGGACTTTGCGATGTCCCTGGGATCAACAGGATGTGCCTTTCTCAATCACCGTCTCTACGGGATGGTTTAGGTCCAGTGGGACCATCTTGCAACAGAGATATCAGTGGCGATCTTGAAGCTTCAAGATCGCATGCTGTACCGACGCGACGCCAGCTCCGCCCTCCCTGGGGTCTCCCTTTCTGAAGATAGGAAGGACAATGGCTAATGACCATAGGTCAGGTCAAAATGCTGGAACTAAAAGATATCTTGTAGATGGTGCTTAGTATTTCAGCTATGACATTGAGGACTATATGTTGAACGTTGTTGGTCAGGCAGTTATGAATCCATCAGCTGGTGATGCTATCCCACTTTTTTTTTTCTCTTCCAAGAAATAGTTTCCGGTGTACTTTGTCCAATGCCTTAAGTCCAAGTATGCTACGTCCACAGGATTTAAGTCACTTTCTCAAAGAATGCAATGAGATTTTTCTGCCGTGTTGTTTTTTTTGACAAACCCATGTTGGCTTGTAATAATAGCTTTGTTTGTTTCTAGGCTTATTAGGCAGTTCCATTGCTTGGTCATCTTTTCCAAGATATTCCCAGGGACCGATGCCAGGCTGATTGGTCTTTGGCTTCCTGGATGTTTTTTACTTTATTTTATAAAATATACAAGAAGTGTCAGGAGGAAGCCAGGATCGAGAAGTCATGATGGGATGGAGGTCATATGTGCAAAAGTGAGAAGAAGAAGGAAAAAGGGATAAGAATCAGAAATGGGTTGTTTAACATGAGCCTGGACTCTCTTTCCTTCTCTTTTGCTTCTGTGACGCTTTAGTTTAGTTACTTTAGTTTATTGTCATTTGAGAATGTTTTAAGGCAGCGGGAGCTATAAAGCTCTTCCAAAGAGGGGAGAGGGCAACCAATGATCCTCTGGCAATGATGTCCTATCTGCTACTGTGCAATTGGCAAAACATACAGAGGTGCAGTAAGTTAAAATACTCTCTATGGTGCAGCGATAGAAGGTCATTTAGTTTTTAGTAATACCTGTAGTTTGTCCCGGACTTATGACCACAATTGGAGTCTTGGTCGTTGAGCAAAGTCATCATGGAGTAAGATGTCATGTCAGAGCTTGGCTCAATGGCTGCAATGCTGTACTCCTGTGGTTGTTAAGTGATTTCACGTGTCGTTAAGCAGACAAAAGTCCCAGATAGGGAATGTGGGGCTGTCTGAAGTAAGCAGGAGAGGCCTTGTGATTCCCAGGCACAGGCCGCATTCGACCTAAGGGGGCCTGGAGGAGCTTAGAGATGCTTTGGGACACGTTGCCTGGAAACGGTACAGAACATGCAGCTTTGAAAATGGCTGCAAAGGCCTCCGCTCTAGGAATTAAGGCCGCATTTCTCAGTGGTCACAGTGACACTGGGGTGAAGCCCAGGCCTGGGGACAGTGGCAGATGGCTGAGAGTGCTGAAGGCCCCAGGCCTCCACTTAAGGCCCAGCCCAGCATTGCTGTCAGTCAGAGCTGCTTTGCATGGACGGCCTCAGGCTCCCAGGGGTGGCTGCAGCTGTGCACCCCACTTTAATGGGTGGCTCCCCAATTTATGGATGGCCTGTGCCTGTCTTCTCCCCTCCCTAGATGCCCCACGACCATTGCCTGCTCCTCCCCACACGTAAAGACCTCCAAGGTCACTTCACAATTGCAACCCGGAGTGTCGGATGGTGGTTGTGGAGTAAAATGCTCCCGTGACCCCTTCCCTAAGCACTGTGTCAGGGTTCCCAATAATGAACCCAAATGATTCAGCGATCTGAGACTTTCCGCAAAGAACGGCTTTATTGAGTACATCATTTTTTTATTTTATTTATTTATTTTGTCAAATGCTTACAATAGAAATAAGAATAAACATGTTTAAGTATAAGAAATAGGAACTAATAACTCGGGACAATAGGACAGGGATGGTAGGCACAATTGTGAGCTTATGCACGCCCCTTACAGACCTTTTAGGAATGGGGTGAGGTCAATAGAGGTTAGTTTGAGGGTAAAGGAGCAGGGGTTTGAGCAGGTGACAACAGGTAGTGAGTTCCAGAGATTGACCATTCTGTTGTTGAAATTGTACTTCCTGCAATCAAGTTTGGAGTGGTTTACATTATATCTGTTGTGTGCTCTTGTGTTGTTGTGATTAAAGTTGAAATATTCATTAACTGGTAAGACATTGTAACATATGATTTTATGTATTATGCTTAAATCCAATCTTAGTCGGCATAGTTCAAGGTTGTCTAAGCCTAGAATCTCAAGTCTGGTGGTGTAGGGTATTCTGTTGCGAACACAGGAATGTAGTACTCTTCTGGTAAAATACTTCTGGACTCGCTGATGTCTGATATACAGTGGGAATTCCAGACAGCAGAGCTGTATTCGAGTATTGGTCTAGCAAAGGTTTTGAACGCCCTAGTTTGCAAATCAGTATTACCAGAGGAGAAACTTCGTAAAATGAGATTAACAACTCATAAAGCCTTTTTGGCAATACTGTTGCAGTGATTTCATTATGGCATGGATGGACTTAAAACCAGCTCTAGCTGTTTCCCGTGCTTTCAGCATAATTTAAATGTTAGAGATTCCCCCCCTTTTTCCTAGGGTCACAGGTCATATTGCCCAATTAGGTGCCCTGGCATCTTCCTGGCAACAAGTTCCAGTCTCTGGCCGGCACCTGCTAGCAATGACCTTGGTTCCCACGAGATAGCAGGTTGTTTTGGCTAGATCGATTTCCATTCTTCTCCCCCCTCCCCGAGCTGTGCGGCAACTACAGAAACGGAAGATATCTGAGGCAGGCTCAATCCGTTTCAGAGTTGACATACTGCTTGACTAAACGACCAAGGTTGCAGTCCCAACCATGGTCAAACATTGAGGACATCTCTCTTACAGATATAGGGCCTCCATCACTTTGCCTCAGGTGTACTGAGCACCCTACCCTGGGCAGAGGGTCAGACTGGAAGACCCTGAAGGTCCCTGCCAAGGATAAGATTTTATGATTCTCTATGTGCCTGAAAGGGAAATATAATTCTTCCCTTCTTTTTCCTTTAACAGCAGATAAAAGATTGTGACCAAAGATTTACCTGGAAGACAACTATTAACAGACAATAATTTTCTATAACACATGGCAGCATCCAAGGGAAAACATGGAGGGTGGTAAGCACTTGGATCCTCCATCAGACAAAAGCAGCACTCCAAGAAACCACCAAAAAACGCATGAATGCTCAGAATGTGGGAAATCTTTTGCTCACAGGCCCCTCCTTTTGACCCACAGGAAGGTCCATGTGGGAAGTGGATCCACTGAAGGTTTGGAGGTTGAGAAATCCAACTCTGGAAATGAAGGTCTCAGCTCTTCCAGACTAAAACCCTATAAATGTGAGGATTGTGACTTACGCTTTGGTCAAAAGTCAGACCTTCTTACACACCAGAAAATCCACCCCGGAGAGAAACCTTATCAGTGTCTGGAATGCGGGAAATTTTTCCGTGAAAAAGCCCATCTCAGAAACCACGAGAAAATCCACACCGGGAAGAAACCTTACAACTGTTGGGAATGCAGGAAGAGCTTTTCTCAGATCTCAGGTCTTTGGCACCATGAAAAGATTCATGCTGGGATCAAATCTTACAAATGCTACGAGTGTGGAAAATGTTTCACCGATAGTCCATCTCTTCGGAAACATGAGAAAACACACACAGGAGAGAAAAATGAAAAATGCCTCAAATGTGGGAAATGTTTTACTCTGAAATCAACTCTGTGGCTACACCAGAGACGTCACACTGGAGAGAGACCCTATCAATGCTCAGAATGTGGGATCCGGTTTATGCATTCTTCTGAACTTCAGAGACACCAGATGAGGCACAAAGAGGAGAAACCCTATCAATGTGGGGAGTGTGTGAAAAGTTTTGTTACCCGAAAAGAGCTTCAGGTTCATGAGAGAGTCCACACAGGCGAGAAGCCATTCAAGTGTGAGGAGTGTGGGAAATGCTTCTCCCAAAAACAAAACCTCATAAGGCATCAGAGGTTCCATACAGGAGAGAAGCCCTACCGCTGCGTAGAATGTGAAAAATATTTTGCTTATAAGCACATACTTTGGATACATTATAAAACCCACACTGGGGAGAAGCCATATCAATGCATCGACTGTGGAGGATTTTATCGTACCTCATCAGCCCTTGGAGCTCATGTGAAAATTCACACAGGGGAAAAAAATTACAAATGTTTAGACTGTGGGAGGACATTTGCTGATTCATGTCACCTGAGAAGGCACGGCCGAATCCATACAGGAGAGAAACCTCACAAATGCTCAGAGTGCGATAAATGTTTTTCTGAAAAAAGTAGTCTTGAGAAGCATCAACGAATCCACACTGGAGAGAAACCATACAAATGTCTGGAGTGTGGGGAATGTTTTGCTCAATCTTCAGCACTTCGGATGCACACCAGACATCACACAGGAGAGTGGCCGTACAAGTGTGCGGAGTGCGAGGAATCTTTTCCTAGTAAATCAAAGTTAAAAATGCATCAGAAAGTCCATAGCAGAGATAAACCTCTTCAGTTGTGAACGACATTCAAAACTTTTTTTCTTAAGGTCGCATCTTAAAATTCACCCGGAACTTTGCACAGTGACAGAAGGGAAATCCTGCAAATGTTTGGCCTGGGAAAATGTTTTTTGCCAGGGGAGCAACCTCAAAGTCTTAGCGATGAGGGGGAAAGGCCGTAAATGTTGGGAATGTGAGGATGTTTTACTCACCAAGCAGCATAAGTGACTTAGCAGAGTCCTTACACAAAAGTGTTTTAAGTATTTAGGGAGTGTATATGTAATGTTTTGCAGTGTACAGGTAATTCTTGACTTTATGACCAGAACTGGGAATGCATTTCCGGTGATAAGTTGTTCCATTCGTAAGTGAAGGCTCCCAGGTATTTTGTAGATTCTTGAAAGGTCAGAGAGCATCAAAGACTCCGCAGTTCAACACTGAGCTACAAATAAACTATTCTGGAACTGTGGTCTCTTGCATCCTAGATCCTTGTCCAGCATCTTTGGCATGATCCCCATAGAGAACAATATGTCAGCCTTCCGAATAATGGACCCATTGAAAGCAGAACTCCGAGTCAGGTAGGTTCCTCAAAGGACGTGTTTATTGGATGCACCGTATTGGCGCTGGCAGGTTGCTTGGTCACTCCTCCCCTCTTTCCACAGCCACCTGTTCATCTGACCTTGGTTCCCACAAAAAGACTTTTTAAGAATGTTTATATATTTTCACTTTACACACATAAGTGCTTGGTGAACAATGCATTGTCTGGATCGCTCTATTTATATATATATTAATACTTTCCCCACTCCTAATTTCTACCACTACTATCCAACCATCTATAAAATGAATCCCATGCTTGAAAAAACTCTGCGTCTTCTTTTTGTTTTATTTTTAGTGTCAGTCTGTCCATTTCTGCACACTCCAGGTTTTTTTAAAAAATCATTCTAGGTATTTCCTCAATTTTCCAGTGCTTTGCAACAACAATTTTTGCTGCTGTGAAATCATGTAATATTAAATATAGGTACTCTTTTATCATATTTTTCCAGTGTTATGCATAGCAAGAATATTTCTGGCT